GGTGGGTTAGCACCGCCAGTTTAAGGCAGCGCTACGTACGCACGCAGAACGTTCATGGTGTGAAACACTTCCTCCCGTCCTCCTAGGCTTAAGAAACACGGCTAAAACCGACTTAGACACAATGCCAGCGCAGCTAGTCCAAGATGGCACGTTGCGTTTGCCTGAGCAACTGGTCTCACCGCCTCCGTGCTCTTCCTTCTTTGACTACGGCGGTTGCAGGGACTGATGGGCTCACCAGATGCATGAGCTAGGTCAGCCCGCTCCTTTATCGCAGAAGACACCAGGGTACATACCCGAGCAGCTGTCTATGTGTGCACATATGCTTCTCCGCGCGGACGGCGGTAGGCAGCCTTTTCATTAGTCACACATAGGACCCTTCAAAGGGCTGCATAGTACGAATAAGACCTAGCATATCAACAGAGATGCCGAGGCGAAGTCGTCATTACTGATCGTTCAAAATTAGCTTTCATCGACGAGGTCGCCGGGCCGATGGATACTTCCAACCCCTCGTGTGACCCTAAGAATAATTGCGCTACGTTACAAACACGTAGCGTTTCTGCAACATGTACCTAATAGCTTCACAGGCGCAGTAGCGAGCCTGTCGCCGCCCACGATCACTCGCCGTGGTCGGAAGATATGTAAACCCATCGCATTTCCGTTTATGTACAGTGCAACGACTGCTAGGTTCCTAAATATTCGCACCTTTTTGTCAACAAACGTTTTAACCGCACAAAATTTAAGAACGTCAGAAACACCTTTTTAAACAAATTATTCGTTTGTATTTTCTGGCGTGTTTTCAGTTTTCTGGTTTCTACATGCCCTGGCTTCCCCTCCGATCGACGGACCCCCGCGAGCAACGTCTTCGAGGATCGCCGCAGCCAACGAGGAACAGGACGCGGATGCGGATCGTTTCTCTGAATGATGTGGGTCTTGCTGGCGCAGCGCGGGCTGTGTCCAGAAGAGGCCACTCCTAAGCGCACTGTTTGGCAGCAGCGGAGATTAATGTCCTATTGGCCTTTCGCTGGGCGAGCCAGTATTTTACAGCCCGCCAAGTTCGTTCCAGCTGCTCGCCGGAATACACCCTGCCCTGCAGTCAATAAATAATAAATAACAGACCGCACAGCGGACTCGCATTTCCGACGAAACACTATTTGACGCGAACGCATACACACCCCTCACTCGGCCCGCTTTTTCTGAACAAACTTCGATTCACCAGGCACTTTGACTTCGAAGGCTTCTTCTGTTCCGTTTTCTAGGTAGGTAGCTCTGTAACGCCCCAAGAGGTATATATTAGCGTTGTGTACAATTTCATTAATTACCAATTGTAAAGTATACTTTCTTGTTTTAATCTCGTTTATCTTACGGTCGTGTCGGTCTACATTCGGTTCTTCACTTGATCGTCCCATAACTTGCCGCGCTTACGTTTCGCTCCCGTCACGCTACATCTGTCCGCGTCTCCTAGCCCATCGAGTATAGTCCACTGTGTCCGACTTCAGTTACTGCTGATATCGGCGCTTGATTAAGCGTATCGTCTCGGACTAGTATTTACTGATCCTACAGGTATTATCTGTCAGCTGTATATGGCCGTTTGTACTGGCAATGGAAGAAGGTAAATAAAGAAAGAAATAACTGTCTTTGGCATTGCGTTCGAAGTACCAATAAGCAGTACATTTGCTGAAGAGCTTTCCGGGCCTTTAATTGGGTGAAACCAATAAGAAAAGCAGATGTAATCAAAATGGATTTCGCAGGGGTATACAGAGCTGCAAAGCAACCCTCACGTGTGACCTCTAACAAGAAATAGAAGATACTTAACGGCGTAGAATAACTGCAGCCAAGAAGATAGGAAAATGTTGGCTGTTTTCTTGGTAAGTACAAATGTAACGTTTGGCGGCATCTTAGCGTTACTTACTGAAGTGGCTTGATACCTCCTTTACCCATAGGTTCGAATCAGGCAGTATTAAGCGGGTGCGCTCTACTGATGTGTTCCAATGAGAAAAAATGGCCACTTAGCGCTTTGCTGTATATGTGGTGGCTATATGCTTCTACCTTGTTGCGACGCATCGTTGCAAAAGCCAACCGAATCCCCTTCCTATTCACTAACTGCTGTTTGCCCATGCAGGCTGGCTAGTCGAACAACGTCGTGGTGTCAACTGCGTGGATCAGGCTTGACCCATTCCTGTAAACCGTTCGGCGGCAGTTTTCCAGACGCTTTGGGTTCTCGCCTGGCACGTGTTTTCACTATAAAAAGCCACGAATGTCTGTTTACCGACACTGTGACGTGGCGGCTGGGACGCGCAACTAAATAAAGTCACCCTTTTCTTATCAGAACAAGCGCTTCAAGTCCACATACAACGGATTCTTTTTGCACTGATGACACGATTAAAGTGCAGGAATGCATTTACAAATCCCATAAACACAGTTACACCCGCCTACATGCACACATACATATATTCATATGTCAGTATATGTGACACACCTATTGTTCATTGCAGTTTAACCGCTCACGTTTGTAGGTTTACCATGAGCATATCTGTGCATTGCGCGATGAACAGGGTGCTACAGTTTAAATACCCACGTAGCCCATGTGCCAACCTTATTCAAGAGGCATTCCGTGTCGGAACTGCTGCAAGTTTTTCCATGCGTGGTGCATCCGAGTTAAATCTATTCAGGTCACGCTGATAAACAAACCGTGTTCTCTATGGTTTTGCAGGAATGCGCAGCCATCCCACTGATAAAATCTTGCTTCTCTTATCCCAGAACTACGACCAGCTACTAGCCAAGTTTGGTGCAATGTTGGCCCCCAAAATCACTACAGTTTGGGTACACATGACGGACGGTGTAACCTAAGCCTCCCCACTAATTGCTGCTCCTATCCTGTGGAAAAAGGGCTGGTATCACCATAAGCAAAATGAGACCAATAGCCCAGAATTTCAACTGCTGTTCCAATACCAAACGTGTCTCAAATTTGACTAAGGCGGTTCTCAGTTCGATCTAAGCAACTACGCGTAATACTGCTCCAAATTTCGACGGAGTTCACGAGAAAAGCAAGCCGGTACCGGAAAACTTTGAGTTACGGTTGCTTCCAAGAAGAGCAGTTATTTAAAATTTACGGCACCTTTATCAGGATCGGAGACGGAGGAGCGAAGCGAAGTCCCCCTGGTCCAATCACCATTGGTTTCCTGCGGTACACCCAAATTAGTTCAAGCACTAGCTGCGACATGTAGAAAAGTGTAAAGAAACATCTGCCTCAACTGAGCGTATTGGGTTCCAATGTCTAAGAAGCAAAGTCGAAATCAGTAAGAGGCAGGCAGTGGTATTTAGACGGAAGCGGCTGTTGTTGGGGTCGGCATTGACCACAGCTATCCGAACTACTCGAAAGCTTTCTGCAGCCTGGATCGCCGCATCCTACTCCACAAGCTACATATCTAAGGAATCGGAGATGTTGTACTTGGTTGGCCTGGCAACCTTCTGCACCAACGGAAGCTTCAAATGCGTGTTAGGGGGTCACTCTAATGCGCCTGAGGTGAAATTCGGTTTTCCACAGTGCTTGGTGCTGGGACTGCGCCTGCTCCTGGTGTTTAGCAATGATCAAACAAATCTGTTTCCCTCAGCTTTGCTGCTTTCCGCAGATGAGGTCAAGATATGGTGGGCCATTAAAACAATGAATATCATGATGTGCTCCGACATGACCTAGATTGCATTCATGAATGGTCAACGAGAAACTTGCTTAAATTAAACACAGCTAATTGCGTGCTGATCCATCTGCGTCTTCATCCGGGGTGCTTTTGTAAACTCCGGGAGTACAATTTGTAGGAGGCCTATCAGCAGCGTGGCCTAGTTATACGGTCCAGGAAGGTCTCGGATGCTCAAAACAAGCAGACAAGACGTCGCGAACTGGCAGTCGACACTTTGGTCAGCTTCGCCGAGCGTTCAGTCGGTTTGACCCTCACTCGTCCCCCAAATGCTTATCACCCACTTGCGGCCGCAATAGAATACGCTATCCAGTCGTGGCCGCCGTGGCAGAAACCGGACCTCCTTGCCATCGAGATACCTAAAATAAAGGCAAATAAGACCGAAATTTCTAAGAACTTGCAGCCATCGATATCGGCTTTTGCGGGAGGTCCCATAATATTTTTCCAGATTCTAAAGAATCCAAACCACATTTGACTTCTGCAGCTTGTCAGCCTCTAAAATGGAAGATAAGCTATAACCGGTTTAAATGCCATAGAAATTTCTTCTTCCTCCCCGTTTGTCAGCCTTGTAAAGCTCTCCCGTTATTTCGTCTCTGTCCTCAAGTTGCCGATATTTAAAAACGCATGGAAAATGCTTTGGCAAGTTCGCATAGTATTTTTCCTAATTTATTCAGGGCGCTTCAAAACACAATCCAATAATATCTTGCCAAATCCCCAACCAAGCGGCTTATGGAGTTATACCCTTAATGCACAAACATGTCCGCTATTATACACAAGATCATGGTGCATCCACTAAAACGCTTCTCAATTTAGCATAAATTTGGTTGTACTAAGAGGTAATGGGGATTTGGTATGATTAGGTTTCCTTCAACACGGCCTGCTTTCAGTCAAAAGGCCTAAGCTAGTCTGGATAAGCACCAGGCACTGATGTTTCGACCTTCTGGGTCTCGTCCGTGGTGTGCCTTCTAGCGGACCTATGCCGGGTTCCGCCCCATGGCTTCAGGATGTCATCAACTTGTGCCACTTCGCCATGGGTGACAGTGACGGACCTGCATGACTGACAGTTAACTATGACATAACCTGCTGCATCTTTAACTGCCATGCCAGTTACAACCTTCGTATAAGACAGCAGCACAACACAAGTGGTCAAGTCAGAGCTTTCAGTACCTGAATGATAGCCAATTATCTCGTTATTTTGGGATACTGGACATTGTCAGACCGAGTGATCACAAAACACGTTGCTTCACCCAGGGCTATGCGAAAAGAATTGAAGGCACCGGGTCAGTGTTGCAGACCGCTTCTCTGGATATGGTGAGTGAGCCAAGATTTCAATACGTTTCATCGTGGGGACACTTTTTTACTTGTTTCAACCTCTTGTTTGTTTTCAGTCCGGTGATGACGTCAGCGCCAGTTGGATCGCTGCAAATGGAGATCAAAAGTCTTTATTGACTCTAGCTCACAAGTTGTGTCTGGGTTTTTTGCTCTCCAGAGAAGTGGCTAACTTTCTCTGCTTTCCTCCTGTTTTTGGTGAGCCACCTTTTCGGTGTTTTGTTTTTACCCAGAGAAAGCCATTCAGTCACTTTGGGGCTGTTCATGGGTCTTTGAATTCGTCAACCAAGCTTACCGCAAGATGCTTGACCATAATGTACTAAATATCTGAACTCTTTCAGCTGAATTTTCTGAAGGTGCCCCTAAGTTTTCCACTGCGTTATAATGCTGAATCGCTTGCTCTGTTTAGACAGGGTTATCTGCATTTCTGACTATCGCATCATAACTGTCGTCGTCTTCATTGCTACCTCAATTGACTGCAACTAGCTGGCTCTTTTTGCCAAACACCCGTAACCTACGAGTGCGTAATCCTCGTGGCAACTGCTTGGTCGATTGCAACACACTTCTTATTGGCTGTCCACGTTAGAACACATGATCGATGCTTTGTACAAGCGTCTGTTGAAATATCGGTTTTGTTTCCATTTGACTGACTTCTCGCGTCTACACTACACCGGCTACGAGCCGCCGTTTCGTTTGCACTACTTTTGATTGTTCTATACGCGATAATCTGAAGCAATGAGATCATCAGACTGACGCGGATGTGCGCACTAGAAAACCTACTTAGCCTAAGAAGACTCTTAGGAAGGAGGCGGCTACAACACAGAATCACAAACAGATGGTTATCGTGTAAAGAACAATCGGAATCGGAGAGACAACCACTTCCTTATGATTCTCAACATCCTGCATACTTATCATTCCATTTCCACAAATGACTCATTCTCCTACACACTTTGCTGTGACCGTTCGATAAAGAGAACATAAGTAAAGAAATGGTAACTTCCTCAGCGGTGCGAGGCACAGTCCAACTATGTGGTCTGATCAAAACAGCAAACATCCCACTGAGGCCAGTCACCCGCCGTGTCCTGTAATTTCTCGGGCCAAGTGTACAGCAATTTGCGTGATCCTCAATCAAGAGATAGGCACTTACCAGTCGACTTCGTCTCCTGTAATCTCCTAGCCCCTAACTTGATGTCGAAAAACATCTGACAATTAACCATTGGAAATCATGCTTCGTTGCACAGACAAGACAACTTATCCTGCCCAACTTGTCTATAGAACGAACTGGCCTGGTCATCTCTGTCCAGAATTTGCCTGCACTCGCCGTCATTTGACCATTCCGGTGAGATCCGACACCAGCCTTACTCCGTAATCGCCGTTGGTCATTGAATTACTTGTTCTTGGTGACGTGTGTGAACGTCATCTACGCATACCTGTTTTAGTATTATTTTCCGGGTGGCTGTCTTCCTACCTTAGGGAGCGCTTACTTTTCACTTATCGATCTTTTGCTAGAGTCCACACTGCTACTGGCCATTACTCGGGTAATTCTGATGTGTTACATTAGGTGTTCCGTGACGATCTTGGATTTGTATTGCATCATCTGCTGAAAGTACGATGTTTACAATCGCCAAATCGTGCCGGTTGACTCCTTTCACGCATAATCCCTCGGTCCATCTGACTAGCAACAACCCAGTTACTGATGTGCGGTACACTCAGTCATCAATACTTGTATCACCACGGTTGCAATACTCAGTGCTTGGGAGGAAAATGAGGTGAAATTTAAGTAGAGTATGGAAAGGGAGCTGGGGTAAGGTATTCATGATTTATACCATGAGCCGAATGCGTGAGCGCCTTGCAGCATGCTCTCCGCATGTCTGACAACGTTCCCAATCACTGATGCGTGCTATTCTGGGGCAACCTACACAGAGACAGCGTTCCAGACTGGCTAAGTTTATTGGCTAGTTTCTGTATCCCTTAATGCCCCATCATGAACTGGCCACCTCGTGGCGTCGCCCAGTTCGGTGGGCATACGGAGAACATTACTTAGCCAGTTTAAGCGGCTTTTATTTGGTACTATGGCGCATCTTTCAATTACCCACTGCTGAACTTCAGTAGTTCTGACCACCAGATATGGGAATCTTTTCATTGATCTCCTAACGCCGTTGTAACGCAGTGTCCATATCTATACAATAACACACCCCATGCTGAGGCTGATGTTGCATTCTTGATGCTTCTTCACCGCAGTTGGGCTAAACCAACTTACACTTAAATTAGGTCTTTTTAAGCTGGATAAATTTCATTCCGCTTTATTTGGTTTGTTCTGCCTCCCTGAATAATGTTCTATTAACTGGCCACGTTGCTTACAATAATTGCGCTTATCTTCGGTAATTTGGTTGCGTTTGTAGCATTTTAAGTAACTTGTGGACATTTCTTACTTATCACGGATTTGTTGCTAACCAAATTACTTCATATGGTAATTTAGCGAAGAGTTATGCCACCGTATCTGTATGCATTATTGGATTTATTTTATTTCCGCTTGTCGTTTAAAGTGAATGGCTTTTGTTTGATATCCCTGGTATGGTTGCGCTTGATGTGTATGTTGACAAGGTGCCTACCTGTCTATTACCCACTACATCGTTCATACTGGCTCCAGGAGACAGTTGGTCGTTGCTGGAGGGGACGGGGTGCACGGTTCTTGTGGCCGTGCTAGGCTCAAAGAGCGGTACCATGCACACAGTGTGGAGCGGACTACGGTCCAGCCACCGCCTTGTGTGCGCTTGATTCCCCAAATACAGCGTGCTTGTGTTTGCCTGTGAAGGAGTGTGGGCCGGCTCCGTTGATGAAACGTGGTTCCCATCCGCATGCCTCCCGTTCTTATTCCTTCGGGTTTACACTGGATATGGGGTATGTGGTTGGAGCTGTGGGTGGTGCAGCGCAAGCCATCCATGGTCCCTCTGTAGGCGCAGGCGTCCTGTGGCTTGCCACAGTGACAGGCAAATCCGAAACCGGATGCCGCCAACCATAAGACAGCAGCTATCCTCATGCACTAGAACTTTCGCAGTAATTTCCATCCCATGGGAATTGTTAACCATTGTCTTTTACACGTACTACACCATTGTTCCATTGTCTAAAGCTTATTCAGGCTGCATCAATAGGGTTACTGCCCAGACCTATACTAACAACTACTCTGGTCCCGAGTACTGACGCTTGGTGAGCAGCTCATAGATCCTACTGCATTTAGCTCACTTCTGCCACTAACGGCTTTTATTCCTGGCGCCACGGACCATTGTAGACGAACGCCAACGAAAAATAATACAAAAGACTATGCGAAATTTGCACCAATTCCAAGTTTTAAACGCATTTGGAGCATTTTGGCGCTCCTGATTGACTACGTGAACGATATTGAGGGATGGCGTTTTGCGCATACACACAGACACAATGCGCATAGATGGTACCCACGGTTGGTATACTTATTTGCGCGGTAGCTATGTTGTGCATATGCAGATCGTCCGATTGAGCGCTCGCAACTCAACGACCACGAATGCAATGGCTACGGAAGAGTAACGTCGTTTTGTTAGAGAGGATCACAGCTCCGTCACACTAACGTGCCAACTCGCTGCATGTAACCGCGAATGCACACGAATAAAGCAACGAAGGACGGTGCTCAACTGAGACACTGGAAATCCACCTGCTGGCCCGCAAATCTACCAGCAGTAGATCTTGTTCTAATGCCGCGCACCTATTCATGGAAATGCGCTGAAAACCCTTACTTTTGGCATGTCCGAAGACAAGTGATAGTCCATAGTTTTCAGCAGGTGAGATCATACCCATTTGAGAGGCATATGCATACTCCTTATGAGTGGTTTTATTAATTAAGACCAACACCAACAGTATTGCTTACTGCCTGTACGCAAATCCCTGGACACAAAAGCCTGTTAAAAGCGCAGCGGGGGTCGCAGCAATACAACGTGCAGCAACACATACTCCCCAACTGTAGAAACTCAAACTTTATATCCAGGAGTTGGAGTATGTTGAATCTATACAGTTTGGCTTATCTGCTCGGTGTCCCTAGCAGGGAGTTCTGGAGTACGAACAGGCTGCTCCAGCGGTAGAACAGGTACACAACCCGTTGGGCTACATGCGTGGTTAAAGCCATAACGAAAGGTGAGGGACCATTCGTTGGTGGTCATGCAAGGAACTTTGGGAGCATACGTCAGTTAGCTTGTTATATCCTCTAGCAGTGGACCCATCTTCCAATGGCTGATCCGTCTAAGACTCCTGCATACGCCCTTACTGGTGTGCATTGTTCTGTCGAGAATAAACTATGTGTACTTACACCTGATGACAGCGCCGGGGCAGCGTGGACGTTCCACCGTAGCGTAACCCAAACCCACGGAACAGTATTCGTCCGTTGACAAATGAAGTAAAGTTCCAGGGCATTTTGACTAATGTCTAGCTTTAAAGCGTCTTCTCTTCCAATCATACAATTACGCTAGTGTTGTGCTATTCGGCTTTCTAATTTGTATATTTGAGTGGATCACCAATAAAAATAACGTTGTCTGTTTCCGTGTTTCGATGTTGCGGTAAGTAACTGCATCTGCTTATTGGCGAGTTCATTGTATTGGATTACATAGCGACAGCCGGAGGTAGTGTTGTTAAAATCTTCTGTTTGAGTGGCGGATGCGTTTTGACGGCTAGCAGTGCACGATACTCTCAGAAGGCAGACACACAAAGTCCTACTTTGTCTGTCTTAAAACAATACTATGTGACCCTTTCGTCTGACCAACTGCTCCGTTAGCCGCCCTATTGCTGACAACTGTATTACAAAGTTTGTGTCGCCTAAACGCACTAAAACAACAGACTCATCTGCATCGACTTCCTCGCAGAGTTAAGCTCTTGGCACCCGATATTGCCGCAGCTACAACGGACGGGTTCGCCGGACGAAGGCAAAAGAGGAGGTTGTGCGGGTCTGTAGCGCCCAGCAGCGGACAGCATGGTAAACGGCAAACCTGAATAACGTGCTGGCATGAGAGCTGTAGCTTCTTAGAAGAGCACATTTGCAAGTAGGAACGCATAACATTGATAAAAAGATACTAGTCTGGGACGGTACTCAATGACCAACCGTCTTACCCATATGTGATGCTCCTTAATAAGGCTACGGGGAAACGGCTTTATACATAGTAATTACAACGCAGACGAATCTGTTAGAATGAATAGGTGCGCAATTATACCATTTGCCCAAACAAGGTTAACTTGTGCACTCCGCGCCGCTAACCCCTCGCAAAACCTCTAAATAGCTGCGCTGCACTCAGCTGCTGCGTCAACGTACAAGTC